TCCACTGCATATGTGTACCACATCTTTATCCAGTCCTCTATCACAGGACACTTTGGTTGTTTCCATGTCTTGGCCATCGTGAATAATGTTGCAATGAACACAGGGGTGCATAGATCTTTGTGAATACAAGATTTCAAGTAGATACCCAAGAAAGGGATTGCTGGACCGTATGGTAGCTCTATTTTTAATTTTTTGAGGAATCTCCAGTCTACATTCCCACCAGCAGTGAATGAGGGTTCCTTTTTTCCCATCATCTCTCCAACATTTATTTTGCTTGTCTTATTGATAATGGCCACTCTAACAGATGTGAGGAGGTATCTCATTGTAGTTTTGATTAATGTTTCCAACTATTCTTTTAATTTCTTAAAGAACTTTATCAAAGTTCATCTCCTCAAAGAGAGCCTGGCTGCCCTGGCTGGCTCAATGGCCAATATCATGATGAACAGTCCCTCCACTGGTGCACACCACAGGAAGAAGTCATCTGCTAAAAGAAAACTGGGTGCTATTAGGGAAGGGGAGGAGGTTGGATGGCCAAGGAAAACATGCCTGATCGATGGAACCTATCTAGAGGACCCTCAGAGGTGAACCTAGAAGCCTAACAGGAAGGATGGGGCAGTCCCAGGCCAGTCAGAGGGGCCACAGAGCCTGGGGATTCCTTAATAGAATTGTGGTCCTGTTGTCCTGTGCTATGGAGATAAAGGCTGAGTTGGTCATCATGCTAGTAGGTAGGGTTTCCACCCCACTCCACTAGATGGCCTAGGGCAAGGAAGGCTACTAAGCCTGTCATTTGCTCAGTCCCATTTACCTGGACTCAGATATCAGCTGCTTCCTATGATGCTAGGGAGCTCAGCTGTGGTCTTACCTGGGACAGTGTGGCTGCAGGAGGACCTGGAGCTCCCAAGGTCCAGGGGCTCTGGGTAACCACCCCTTAGCCTGAACCTCCCAGAGTGGCTTCTCTGGGCATCAGCACATGCCCTGCTCTGCTTTGCTAGAGAGAAGTGCCTTCTGTCTGGGAGGAGGGGCCAAGGATTCTCCTGTTCCCTCTGTGTAATCTGGGTGGGTAGACATCCCTGTGAGGATAATATTCAGAGAACAGCTGGCTGAGGCTTCTGGACCATGAACAAAGGCAGCCCACTGAGGAGGGAAGTCCCATCTCAGAAGCAGCCAGTACAAGGTATTTCTTGTTTATTATCACCCAGCTGGGTGAGCTGCCACAGGCTTGCATGAGATGGTAAAAATTTGGTAAGAAAGTCCACTTTCTTCCTGGTCACCTGAGCCAGGGAAGAAGGCAAGGGTTCCCAGGCTTTTTGGGGAGGGAAATTTCAGAAAGAAGAAAATCACGGGAAGAATCACAAATTCTGTGTATAAACTCTCCCCAAGTTTCCTTTATCTGAGTTCCAAACCAACTGACAGGCAAAAAGTGAGACAGAGATGGGGTTAAAAAATATCAGTTTTGTTACCCAGCCAGCCTGGCTCAGTGGTTGAGTGTCAACCAAGGAACCAAAAGGTCCCTGGTTTGGTTTCCAGTCAGGGTACTGCCAGGGTTGCAGGCTCCATCCCCAGGAGGGGGCGTGCAGGAGACAGCCAATCAATGATTCTCTCTCATCATTGATGTTTCTATCTCTCCCTTCCTCTCTAAAATCAATAAAAATATATTTTTACAAAAATCAGCTATCTTCCTGATAAAAGCGGGATTAGGGGACATGGTTTAGATGGTGCTAAAAAAGAATTCCTAAGTCTGAACCCCAGAACGGGGCTTAGCCTCAAGTCCCCAGGCTGCTCACATATATTAATCACACACATTCCCCACACCCAGGCCGCTGTCTCTGTGCACTGGAGCTCAGAGGAGCACAGAGCCCTGGCCCCTCCAGCAGGATGAGTCCAGGGAGACCCACCAAGGAGCAGACTCACCTTCACAGAACTCCCAGCCTCAGTGCCTCCCCAGGAAGAAGGGAGGGCAGGGAGACCAGGAGTCCTGCTGACTGATGGGCCACCTCCCAGAAGGGGACATCGGTGTGGGGCCTGAGTGCTCCCACTTGAGTCCCAGGTGCCCCTCCTCTCCATTTCTGCATCGGCAGAGGTGCCAGCTCTTTATCCTGGCCCAGTGGCTGCTGCTGCTGCTACTGCTGCCGCTTCCTCCTGCCCCTAAATTCTCAGGTCCGGGACACTGCCTCCTTTCAGTGACAAACCCTGTCCCCAGAGGGTCTCCCAGGCTGGAGACTCAGCCCGCTAGTGACAACTGAATGAAAGCTGGAAGCCCATCCCCTGGGTGTTTTCTCCACCCCCTGTCCCTCCTCAGTCACTGCCTCTCCTGCTCTCCAGGTTTCCAAGCCCCTAGCTCAGATACTTCCTTACAACAGAAACATCTCTGTTGTCAGTGCCCCTTGTTACCCTGGACAATGTCCCAGGCCCTCCCTTCTTCCTTCCATATCAGTCCAGCAGATTGTCAGGGTTTCAACCTGCTTCTGAAGATGGTCTCATCACATTCCTAACTGGGTGTGTCTGACATTGTTTTCTGGACAAAAATCTTTGCTTTCTCCACAGAGGCCTCCAGTTCCCATAGAAACTACTGCTGTTTGCAGAGTGGGGTGCTGCCTGGCTCTCTCTGGCTCCACAGGAATGTGTCCTTCCCTTGGCCAGGGCAGCTTCAGTGCAGGGTATCCACCCAGGAGGCTGGCCCCTATGGATTCCCTAGCCAGTTGACTGCGATCAGACCCCAATTCATGTGATATTGGTGACTCTAAGCAAACCCACGAAAAGCTGGCACATTTATGCCAACACCCAAGCCTAGTCAGCCTGCTGCCTAGGGACAGAGGATAGAGGGGACACTAGAAAAGGCTGATGTTGTTGGTGTCAAATTCTGTCGGGGCCCCAAGCACCCTGGAGGTCGGGAACAGAAGACAGCTGTGCTCAGCAAAGGGCACCGGGCACCTGTCGGAGAGTCTCGGACTTGAGGCCGGAGGCTCCACTCCCTGCGAGCCCAGATGCCGCTCCAGCCTTCAAGCAAAGACACAGAAGAGATGGAAGCAGATGGTGATTCAGCTGCCGAGATGAACGGAGAGGAAGAAGAGGGTGAGGAGGAACGAAGTGGCAGCCAGACCGAGTCCGAGGAGAGCTCAGAGATGGACGATGAAGACTACGAACAGCGCCGCAGCGAGTGCGTCAATGAGATGCTGGACCTGGAGAAGCAGTTCTCGGAGCTAAAGAAGTTGTTCAGGGAACGACTGAGTCAGCTGCAGGTTCGGCTGGAGGAAGTGGGGGCTGCGAGAGCACCCGAATACACAGAGCCCCTGGGGGGGCTGCAGCGGAGCCTCAAGATTCTCATTCAGGTGGCAGGGATCTACGAGGACTTCTGTCTGGACATGATCAGGAATAAGTATGAGTGTGAGCTGCAGGGAGCTAAGCAGCACCTGGAGAGTGAGAAGCTGCTGCTCTATGACACGCTGCAGGGGGAGCTGCAGGAGCGGATCCAGAGGCTAGAGGAGGACCGCCAGAGCCTGGACATCAGCTCGGAGTGGCGGGATGACAAACTGCACACCAGAGGCAGCCCAAGGACCTGGGACTCCCTGCCGCCCAGCAAGAGGAAGAAGGCACCCCTTGTTTCTGGCCCTTACATCGTGTACATGCTGCAGGAGATCGACATCCTGGAGGACTGGACAGCTATCAAAAAGGACCCTGACCCTGCAATTCACAGCCAGCGGGGCCCCTTGGAGCAACAGGCACCAAAACCCGGATTTACATTTTCCTACTGCAGCCAGGCAGACCGACAAGCCTCGGGGTCTTTCCAGCCGGCTCTCCA